TTTTTTTTTTTAATGGAGGGGGTGGAAGAAAAGGTTTGTAGTGACAGAATATGCTTTGCTCAACAATTAGTGGAAAAACTACGGTATATAAACAGATCTTTGTGACAGTAAAGGTTTTAGGAATATAAAATAGATTAAAATAACATAAGCAAATTCCTTTAATTTACATTCTCCATTGTATATATTTTGAAATTTAAACACAATCTGGGATGCTCAAGATGTCAGAAAAAGCTTGAGCAGAGAGAAAATTTCACCTTTTCCCATTTATTTCCTACCTCATGAATATATATTTCTTGGTTGTTCCTTTATATTGTACTAAGTACTGTATGCATATATATGTATAATGAAGGAATACATATCCTCCACTATACTAACAAACCACGCCCCCCCCACTTCTTCTCTCCTGAGAGGCTAAATTTTGTTTGTCACTCCCTTGCCTTTGCAAAATATACTGTTACTACAGATGTTTTCCTGATCAAAATATTGTACATTTGTTTCTGAACCTAAGAGAATATTATCACTCTGTAAGTGGTCTTCTGCATGTTTTTGCACTAATACCTCATTTCTAAGAATCATGCATCTTGTAGTTTAGTGTGTTATTTGCATTTTCCAAGGGTACATAATTCATCCAGAGCCTAATGAGGACCCAGATTTTTGAGTATTGCCAGTACTGCTGAGAATGATGTCCCTCAACCTGTGAAGAAAAGGAAATTCAAAGTTTTTTAGGAATATATGTAACCAAGTTGTTCTTTCCCTGGAAATTGATTAAAGGGGTGCAGAAAACTTACCAATATTGAGATATAATTGCGTGAACAGCAAAGCAATACCTATACCAATAATCCAAGAAACCCACTTACATCTATGGCTACAATTATACATGAGGCATTTATTATATTATCTGATATTATGTTTTAGAAAATGAAAAAGAAAAAGAGGGACAACAGGCTGGTAAGAAACAAGAAGTGGATGAAGGCCCTAGAGATAATGTAGAAGCCTGAATTGTTACTAAATTGTTAGCTAAAAACGTGTCAACGTAAAGTTCCTAAGCAAAAGAGTATTTATCTACTCTGCTCATTATCCTTGGAAAATTGAGGGAAATTTTTGAAATCTAGAATGATAGTGTATTCCTCTACAGAGGATTTACATTTTCTTTTTCCAGACTATAAATCTGGGGCATTTTAAATCAAATTTGCAGTTTGAGGTCATGAAAATTTGGACTACAACTCCAGGCAGAACTAGCCACTGGTTACGGTTTCTCAGGGAGAGATTCTGTCCCTGCTCTGGTCTCTGTGGTGGGGGTGAGTGGCTCTCCAGTGTAGCATAGATATGGGCCTTTGGGATCCCAGATTTGTGTTTAGAGGGTCTCCTATTAGATTATCCTCCTTGGTCAGTATTGGGCTTTGCCTTCTATCTCCTGAGTTTTGCGAGGCCCTGAAAAACAAACTCAACACTCACAAGGCAAAAATGGCTTCAGAGAAAAAGTGATCGCCCTGGCTTCAGTCCTTTGCTTATCGGTGATAACCTGTGGGTATTTTCCTTCAATTCTATTATGGCCTGCTACATTTGTAATTTATAAGTAATTTATTATCAATGTGGATGTGTATGAAAATTACAGAGACACAGATTTTGGACACATTCCTATAAGTCACACTGTCAAAAATCAACTGGGTTGACTCAGCAACCAGTGAAGTGAATTCCCAGAAGTAGAATTGTTTTAGTAGATGTCTGATAGTCACAGACATCTGATATCAGGAAAGCGATACAGGTGATTCAGGAATCAGAAATTTGATCAGTCCCTTTCAGCTGACTGTATAAAATGCAAGGAAGAAGCACATTCCAGTTACATATGAAAATTTATTTCACCAGCTTCCCCTGCATAGGGTAATGCATGGGAAGAAGGCATTGCCCTGACAAAAAAGAAAAATTAAGAATTTCAGTTAATTGGTAGTTACTAAAAAGAGGTGGCTTTAAACTTCAATTCAGAAATACCTCTGTGTTTTAGGGGGCTAATCAGGGATCAAGTTTTTAGAAGAACTAAAAGAGTAACAGTCTTACCTCAGCATGAGGAGTGGGTGGCAAAACTGAAGTCTCATTTTCAGTAGCATTTCCAGTTGGCCCGTTGTTTGGTGAACTGGGACCAGATCCTGGAGAGCTGCTACTGACTGAGGATTCTGGAAAACATTGTGCAGTACAAATATACTCATGAAAAACATACACAGATGAACTTTAGTTATACTTTAAGTAATGTACAGCTTTGAACATTGTCTTTTTCCCCGATGTGAATGACAAGCACCCTTTTGCTAAATGAAAAGAACTGTGACAATTTTTGGAACATATCTGAATTTTCATACCACTTTTTTCCCTTTGTTTTGACTGCTAAAAATACCACATAGTATTCAATAGTTTCTAGAGAAGCAAAGAAATCCAGTCAGAGAGGATTACAGAATCTTTTGATGAGGAAAAAAATAAAGAAATTCTTGTGCTACCATAAAAAAAACAGTTAATAGAGATAATGGACTTGCATAGTTCATAAAACCATGCCATCAACACGTGAGGCCTGAAGTTGTTTCTGTTGTGTGAGAAAAAAATTGCTCATATGCTGTGTTTTAAATTGCTCTTTAATTTATTAAGGCTCTACATTAGTATAGCACGTCTTAGTCCAAGCTGTATGAAAAGAATACAATGTAAAATCTCAGCACTGCATTGATGGCCTTGGACAACAACAATGAACCTGAACTCTGCCCAACTTATTTCCCGTTAGAGGAGAAGTTGCCTGATTTTCCTATGTTAAATTTCAAATACAAACATAACACTTTAACAAATGTTAAGTAACAACAATACAGATTATTTAACTTATTTCTTTCACCTTCAGGTAGAAAATTCACATGTGTTTCAATTCATGAAGGAATTAACACAGTAAAATAAGTGGCTTCTGATAAGATTTCCATCAGTGACTTCTCATCTCGTGACTTTGCCATTCAAACTCTACTTTCCCACTGCAAAGGTAAAGATCTCCCTCTCCACTGCTAGGACTTTCACTCTATCCATGATCCCAATCACTTACACTTGTTTTAGGATTGTGCTCCATCAATTATTTTGGATCTCCAGGTCTTCTTTTCCCACCTGAATTGCTCCTCTGGTCTGCAAGGATGCTAATAATGTGTGACAAGTACTGTGCTCTCACAATGTCTACTCATTCCTTCAAGACCTGGCGATCTGGCTTACTCACTATTGACTGCAACTGTTCTCTCAAAACTCTTCCAATTGAAAGGCTTTTAACAAAATAGTTATTATTCTCCTTATCCTTTCTATAGTAATATTTCCCATCTCTATGTTTATCTTTCTATCTCCGACTTCTCCTTCAACCAATTCCTAAACATAGACATTCACTTAAGTTTGTGTCAGCACCCATTTTCTCTTTCCCTTGTCCAAGTCACTCAATATTGTGGCATCAATTATCATTTTTAGGTACAACACTCCAGAACACTCTCATGAAAGTTCTCTTTCTTGCCTTTGCCTCTCATAAATTCTAGCCTGAGTCTCTTCGGAATGCCAGACATTTTAAATTCCCTTTACGTGACTATAAAATTCAGTGTTACTACGTGTGCCTACTATCTCTGTTTATCACCACCCATAGAGTCATGCTCACTCCCTTCTTTACCCCAAGTCTAACCAGTTACTAGGTCATTTCATTTCATTCTTTATGCTCTCTCTCATCTACTTCTGACTATGATCATTTCAGTTTAATCCCTAAGCCCTTATTATCCTCTCATGGACTATAGAAAGAGGCTCCTCATATTTCTGAGTTGCTAAAGTGGTCTCTCAAAATTTTCTTCTAAACATTTCCAGATGGATTATAGTGAGACAGCTTTTACCACGTTCCTCTACTCTGAAATGGAGCCTAACATTATTTCTTACTACTGCCTTTTCTGTACTCTTCATTCAGTCAAATTTAAATTGCCTACCCTTTGTCCAGTGCTGCTTTCCCATTTCATCATTTTTATACTTCTTTTCCTCTGCCCATTCAACGCATGTCCTATTCCAACTCTAAGCTCAAAGTCTGGCTCATGTACCCTCTGTACCCCAGTAAACAGAACTCTCAATTTGCAGGCAATATTTGATTGTCATACACCTGTATCTTTCAACTTTCTATTATGAATATTTCCCAACTCAGAAATCCAGCACTGATGGAAAGAACTTGAGATTGGTGACAAAATTGTGTTGCTATCTCCTACTTACTATGGGATTTCATTGAGTCATTGATACCATAAAGTTCTTAAACACCTCTTGCTTACTGCATGTCTGTCTATATATCTTGTGTACATTTCTATTAATCTACTGTTTATCTTCACCTCTTTCTCATTTACTTTTCTTTTAATGAGGAAAATGCACATTTGAAAAATTCTTCCAGGAGCCCTCCCCTCTTGAGTCTTGTCTTTCCTGTGTAACTCAAAACTCACTTCTTGTTAATGTCGCATTTCCATATCCTGTCTTGAAAAAAATCTATTTTCTTAAACATTCCATCTTGTCAATTTAAAATTATATTATTTATGTCATTTTATGTGATATTCAGACAGAAGTATTTCCTTATGTAGAAATCACTGTGATAAGCACAAGAATGTAAGGCAACAAATTCTGTAATAGGATTCTCAACATCACACGGTGTAGAGTCTGGAGAGGAGGTAGCAACTGATTTTCTGGGAATACAGAAAATCTCAGTTAAGGAATGGTATAGCAACTGGGGCTTAAAGGAGAGGAGTTCAAGAAATGGGGCAATGGAGAAGGAGAGAGTAGAGGAAAAGGCACTGGGGTGTGGGCACAGGGATGGGCCAAGGCTTAGAATTTTGAAACAACATGGTGTTGTTGGAGAGAGGGAGAGAAAACCCTGGAATTTGAAAAAGTGACAGGTGGTTCTCATGACAACTACTGGGAGGCCAGAGATGGCCTGGGTTTGGAAAAAGCATATGGAAGAGAGGAGAGAGCAAGAGAGGAGAGAAGAACAAGCAATTGCAATTTAACTGCTGTGATGCTGTGATGGTTTTTATTTAACAAAAATAATTAATGTCAAGACCCAATCAGAGCTCATCCCAACTGCATGAAAGCTGCAGAGCAAGAGGAAGGAGTACAGGTGAAGAATGCTGCGTGGCCAGTATTTCAGATCCGCCAAAGACACTGGGAACAAGTGCAACACACCCACTAAAAGTATCTATCAAAGTGCCAAGTCCCAGCTCACTGAGGGACTTGAGAAATGTGTGTCTAATAAAGGCACAAGAGTCCCTTTGAATACACATCTCCTCAGATGAAAAAGGGGGTCACTACCTCTCAAAATCATGAAGAAAAAAATGTGATATTTCAAAAGTAAAGAAACTTAAGTAAAGCTCTAGCAAATCGTAACTTCTATAAATGAGAATTACTCATTACTCATATACATATTGAGCTGAATTCCACTGTCATCTGGTAACAAAGAAAAAGTGACTGTAGAGAAAGATCAAGATAAGAGATTACTAGGAAAATAGAAAAAAAATGTTGGGATAAATATATATTCCCTTAGATGGTAAGATGAGGTAAAAAAAAAGATTGTATATGGTATTCTATTTTTTTTTCAAGTTTTCTTTTACCAGGGAGCCTACTCTTTCCTATCTGACATATCACCTGTATATATTTATATTAGACAACTGATATGTTCATTACTCTTTACATTCATTAAAAGACATTCACTTCCCAACCCCCATCTCCATCAACCTCTATTATGAAAACTTCAGGTTTCTACTTAAGTACAAATATATTTCTTGAAAACAAAGTCTGTAACTTTGAATTTAGAATTCAACTGGTCTAAGTTAGTGATTATATTTGATACTGGAAAATAAACATAAACTCCAGCAAAATAATTTTTACTTATTTGCTTAATATTTCTTATCCCTCAAGGAAAAATTTTCCCACTAATGCTTTTCTTCGTATAAACACATTAATCTGTCCGAACTGAACAGGAGACTAAACATTTTTTTTTCTCCTAAATAACCTGTCAAACTACTAAGTTGCATTAGCTTCTGTACTTTTCTGCCTCTGCCTCCACAATCTTCTCCATATTGTCTCCCCAACCTCGGTGCTCTCATGGCCTAAAGAGATACAGAAAAACAATAGTTTTTTAAAACTTGCTTAGGATAAGATCTGATCTTGGAGAAATAATATCAACGGACTGCATTAGTATAAGCACGAGTTTCCCTGAGAATGGAGAACAATGATTGCAAATTACCACCTCTTTATTGATGCAACCAAAAGAAATGACCACATCTAATGCATAGCTCTAAGTTAGATACTCAATAAACAGTAGTCAGTATTATTATTTTGGCTAGCCTCTTTGGTTCTTGTATTCCTAGGTCTTCTCTAATTTCAGACCAGGTACAATTGGGACTAGGGGGCTTTGTAAGACATCAGGTTGAATTTCCTAACCTGTTCACCCCACTACTAACTAGGCAGCTAAAATAACAAGAACTCTTCCATTTGAGACTAGTGAAAATGACAGTTTCTTTTCCTTCATAAAAAGCAATATATCCCTCTCCTGCCATTTAAGTCCCAGTTCACTAGTAAACACATAAAGTCATTTATGAGTTCTGTAAATTTGTTGAAAAGTCAAGGTTTTGCTGTTCCACATAGTTTAATTTTCCCAGATGTATTTTGTACATTAATGTCTGAGTATGGGGGAAGTGTTCTTCTTGGACCTCCCTCGGCTCATTTCTGATCAAATTTCATTAAAAGTTACATTCTCCTGGTTGGCATTCCCAAAATGGACTGCCTGTTTCTGAAAAGATGAAGGTGAGCTTTGGCATTCCCTAGTTATACCTAGATTGACACATAGTTCTGTTTTTCATTCATTTCCTGTTTAAGACAGTGAATGCATGGCAAGGTTTACTGAACTACTTGTGAGTTTTCAATGTAACTTCCTTTCAAGAAATGTTTCTCCTCAAAATAACTTATAATATGCAACAGGCATATTTATTCTAAACTATTTTTTTTCATTCCTACTACCAGCATTTTTTAGTGTATGTCTACCCAGTCCTCAATTACCTGTCACCTCAAACATTCGCTTCTTGAATGAAGTGACAACATTTCCATCCTTCCGCCTGAGTAAGGGGCTGCTTCTCCTCTCTGCCACTTTCTGTTTTAACCTGGACCGCACCTTCAAGTTGGGCTCAGAAGCTGGGGATTGAGACAAAGAAAATAGATAGAAATTAAAAAATAGAGAGCCAATTGCTCTTGTGAATAAAAAAACGGCAAATATAAGTTTTCTACTTATTTTATCTAGCCAGGTTGGGATTTTTAATGGGAAGTTTAATCACTTGTTTGGGTCAGAGTAAGATTTATTATAGTTCATTGTCTGCCCTTTTAATTCTCTCAAGGGTGAAACTCAATAACCACAAAAACAGTACCCTGATGTGTTTTAGAGACTCTGGCCTGACTTCTGGTAACAGGAAGATACCACTGTAGCATAAAATTTATGTCTAATTCTTACTCCTGAAATATTTCTTTGTCAAAACTTTCTAAGTTGAAATCCTGAGAAATTATACTCATTTGGATAATAGCAAATCAAGGAGTATCACTATGAATAAAACTTTCTATACACTGACTATAAAATCAACTGGAAAGGAAGGGTGGCCCAGTCTTGGAGGTGGAAGTTCCAGGTTGGTTATATGTTCCAAAATACAAATGTGTGTTATTCATAAATATGTTACTACTTTGGTTAAGCTGTTCTAAATAGTGATGCTACATAATTAGTCATTATTTATTAGGTTTTTAAGTAATTATGCTTTAGAGGAATGGTAACATTAGATTGAGTCTGTGTAGTAGGATGATGGTAGTGGTGGTGGTGGTGATGTTGATGAAGATAATGAAAAAAAGGATGTTCCTGATGACAACTGACATCTATATAGTTATTTCCATGTTTTACTACTGTGACAAATGTTTTATCAATATTAACTTGTTTAGCCATGAAAAATCTATATGGAATAGATTTTATTTATACCTGGATTATATCAATGAGGTAACCAACAACATATTCACAGAGATGGTAAGTAACTTGCCCAAGGTCACACAGGTAAAAAGGGATGAAGCCACAATCTTTACCTAAGTAGCCTACCTCCAATTTATTCTTCTAAATACTAAAAATACTGCTCCTCTACCTTTTCTTTTGTATGAAAAGCCTATGAATTTTAAGACTGTTTTTCCAAAGCATGATTCATCATAAGTATTGGACACAGTGTTAGATGTAGCTAGAATTTTTGACCAGTGAAAACATTTTCTTCCAAAGCTTTTTATATTTTTGCCAGAAACAAAGGATATCAAAAGTAGAATTAAAATTGTTTTCTTTGTTTTTTGTTTTGTTTTTTTGCTTTTAGATTTCAAGTATTTATGCTTTAATTTTCTCTTTTTCTTTTCTTCTTTCCCTTCTCTGCAGCTTTACCTTGGACTGAGAGCCCTTGTATTCTAAGTTTCTGGGGAACCTTGCAGGTGAAATAGGAATTTGGAAGAAATATTCAGTTACCAAAAAAAGTTAATTTTTCTGGTAACAGGAAGATACCACTGTAGCATAAAATTTATGTCTAATTCTTACTCCTGAAATATTTCTTTGTCAAAACTTTCTAAGTTGAAATCCTGAGAAATTATACTCATTTGGATAATAGCAAATCAAGGAGTATCACTATGAATAAAACTTTCTATACACTGACTATAAAATCAACTGGAAAGGAAGGGTGGCCCAGTCTTGGAGGTGGAAGTTCCAGGTTGGTTATATGTTCCAAAATACAAATGTGTGTTATTCATAAATATGTTACTACTTTGGTTAAGCTGTTCTAAATAGTGATGCTACATAATTAGTCATTATTTATTAGGTTTTTAAGTAATTATGCTTTAGAGGAATGGTAACATTAGATTGAGTCTGTGTAGTAGGATGATGGTAGTGGTGGTGGTGGTGATGTTGATGAAGATAATGAAAAAAAGGATGTTCCTGATGACAACTGACATCTATATAGTTATTTCCATGTTTTACTACTGTGACAAATGTTTTATCAATATTAACTTGTTTAGCCATGAAAAATCTATATGGAATAGATTTTATTTATACCTGGATTATATCAATGAGGTAACCAACAACATATTCACAGAGATGGTAAGTAACTTGCCCAAGGTCACACAGGTAAAAAGGGATGAAGCCACAATCTTTACCTAAGTAGCCTACCTCCAATTTATTCTTCTAAATACTAAAAATACTGCTCCTCTACCTTTTCTTTTGTATGAAAAGCCTATGAATTTTAAGACTGTTTTTCCAAAGCATGATTCATCATAAGTATTGGACACAGTGTTAGATGTAGCTAGAATTTTTGACCAGTGAAAACATTTTCTTCCAAAGCTTTTTATATTTTTGCCAGAAACAAAGGATATCAAAAGTAGAATTAAAAATGTTTTCTTTGTTTTTTGTTTTGTTTTTTTGCTTTTAGATTTCAAGTATTTATGCTTTAATTTTCTCTTTTTCTTTTCTTCTTTCCCTTCTCTGCAGCTTTACCTTGGACTGAGAGCCCTTGTATTCTAAGTTTCTGGGGAACCTTGCAGGTGAAATAGGAATTTGGAAGAAATATTCAGTTACCAAAAAAAGTTAATTTTGCTAATTTAAAAAATTTTATGCCCGAAAATATTGAAAATGGGGGCCTAGAAATATAGTAATAGTAGAAAATGGGGTGTGGGGGTGACAGAGATTAGGACTGAGAACAAGAAGGTCAGAGACTACAGACCTGAAATGCATTACTTCCTGGGCCTCCACCTTAAGGTAAAGAATATAAACAGTTTGGAGGAAAGGAATAAGGTTCTTGCCAGGCCTTCCAAGAGTGTCAAACTATTTTAGCTTAGTGGAGAAGTCTGAATCTGAATAACTAACATCCAATTCACCCAGGATTAAAGAGAAGAAATAGGACTGTATTAATTTACTTAGATTTGTTTCCCTTTATATATTTATTTTAAAATTCCTTTAACATCAGTTCATCCCTGAGAAGCTCAAGGTTAATAAACATTCATCTGAAACCTAGAAAGGAAAAAATGAGGAATCCCTATGCACTAACTATGTTGGTATCCACTCTAGCCTTGTTTATAAACCAGGACAAAAATGACAGATTCTCAGACTTTGATCTAGCTGTAACTTTATGATAAAATCCAATGGATTAAATGCTAAGATTGGCTGTTCAGAGGGAGTAAATCAATTGACTAATTACTTCCAAAGGTAGAGTAGAAAAGGCAGTATGTTTTTAGTGGCAAGATGTGGAGCTGAGACCACATGACACTGCTTTCCAGCTCTGGCATTTTCAATGTGACTCTAGTGCTTTCTGAGACTGACTATTTATTTGCAAAACTCAAAATATAACACCTTCCCTATATTACAGTGTGGCCATGTGCTTTGATGCCTGAGAATAATTGTGAAGATCTGGGTGAATGCAAAAGGTAAGAACAGTTTATGGAATTTTTGTTAATGTTACTAGGGTTGCAAAGCTAGGAATGACAGAGCCAGGATTGGGCCCTGAGTCTCCTGATTTTAGTCCAGTCTTCCTCCTTCTCTTAACGCGTTGTACCACCTGGGGCTGAGTTTCTGCAATCAAGACAAAAATGTGCCAACAGCTTGGAAAAACAGCATATGCCATTTAAACATTCTACATGAAACCTAGAATTCTGTAAGCTTTTCAGAAAAAATGACTTTTCAGGTTGGCAGATAGTTTCATTCCTATGTTTATCTGAGAATGGCTCTTAAATATCTTACAATGGTCAACATAAAAATAAAAAAAAAAAAAGGAATGCCAGAATGGGAATGAAAAGGGTTCTGGTCTTGCGCCTATCAACTACTAAAATCAATAACCTTGACTAATTCATATTTTCATTGAATGTCAGTTGATCCATGCAAATCAGCCATGGTGATTGTAGTGCTCAGGGCAAAGTAGATGTGCATTTAAATACCTGGTCTGCACATTAGCTATTTGGCTTTGGGTGAATTACTTTTTATCTTTAAACCTGTTTCCCCTGTTAAAATTGGGGTAGTATTTTTTTTTCCTCCATTTGTCCCAAGAGATTCCATTTTCTTTCTTTCTCCAACCCCATGGGGCTGAATCCTGGGCTTGCATCATTCCAGTCCTTTGCTGGTTGGATTTCAATCGGGCTCAATCTACCAGTAGGACTGGCTAATGATCACAAAAGACTGAGCAGGGAGAGGTCAGAATACTCTATGTTCTCTCTGCTACAGCTTGTCTCTTCTTCATTTCATCTGCTTCTGGGTGCCTCTGCTCCATGGTTTCAGCTTTCCTAGCACTTCAGAAACATTATATCCTCTCCTTGCTTCTTCAGCCGTAGGGGTGTGAATGGCTTCTCACCATTGCTACTTTCTGGGTGCTTCAACATCCCTAAGTGGTTGTAAGCAGTCCTTTCAAAAAGTCTACGACCCGTATTGTGTAGATTTTGTTCCCCGCCAAGACTGATAAACTCAGTCCTGCATATTTTGCAAAGTTATTGTGGAATCAAATGAAATGTCTTGTAGAAGACAAACAGTGGTTCTCAACCTGGAAAGATTTTGATGCCAAGGGACAACTGGCAATGTCTAGAAATATTTTTGTTTGTCAGTATGGTGAGGTGCTTGTAGAATCTAATGGGTAGAAGTCAGGGATACTGCTAAACACCTTGCAACACCTTGCAGCCCTCCCAATTATCTGGACCCAAATACCAACAGAGCACTGTGAGAAACTCTGGGGTAAGCAATCAGCAAGTGGCAGTTATTAATATCTGTACTCCACTGGGATGATCAAAGGAGGTAATACCTGTCAGAGATTCTCAAAGAGATTACGAAAGTAAGGGGGCAAAGGAAAGAGTACCAGAAATCAGGAAGTGCTGTAGGTAGCTTGAAAATATTTAATATTTCAATGTATTTTATATTTAGACATATATTTTAAGGCATATTTAATACCATTGGTATTTCCAGAGAAAGCAACGCTGATCAACTTCTATTGGTTATGGAGATATGCAAAAAGATATAGTTCTTAATTTGGGGAAGGATAATATTTGAGGCATTGTGATATTTTTATCTTTATCAAGAATTTAGCTTTTTAAAAACTAGGAACCACTGATATTCCATAAAGTGTTACACATATCAACAGGTACAATATACAACTTCTCTA